GAGTTTCTCAGCCAGCTCGGCTTGAAATGCTAGAAAAGTCAGTAATTACCAGCCAAAGCCTCTAACAATAAGAAATTTCCTAGCCAGCTCATTGGAACACCTAATATTTTGCCAGCCAGCAAGATTCCTATGGGGAACAGATAAAGTGAGGAACAGATTCGTTGGGTGTCCCTGCGAATTCACGTTGAACCAGTTATCGGACTATTTAGATGAAAGTACCCTGTCTTGCAGAGCATACTGCCTACAGTGTTGCTGAAAGTAAAGGCAGGCGATTATCTTGCACCCATTGACAAGATTGCAAGAGTTTGTTGTGCACTGACTAATTTGTCAGATTCAATAATACCATTTGATTGAGATGAATGTATCAGTTATTGTCTGTACAAATTTAACCCTTTGGACCCAATATACCCATGGAAATTCTTCAGAGTGATCTCCAAACATTTTCCTTATGAATTAGTTGAAATAATTTGTTAAAGGATCAAAGCAAACCGCTTTAACGAACACCCCTGATAACCCAGGAGTGAACATAACACATACAGTTCATGTAAAAAATATAACACTTTGCAAAAAATTTTAAGGTAGGCTAACCAGTGTCTTATAAGTCAATGGATGGAGAACCTTAGAGATCTGTTTTTTTTTACTTGTGGCAAATAAATGAACATTGTGTTTGAGTAATGCTAGTCTGTTTATGTTAGCCTATGGCAAGTTGGACAGAACCAATCTCCATCAGGCAGTTCTTTCATCCTCAGACATGACATGAACCATTTTATCTGGCATGCATCATTGTCACACCCGATTAATGTGCTTTCTTCCACATGTCGCTGACAGTAGCACCAAGGCCCTTCCACGTCGTCTTCATCACATGTTGATGATGGTGAATTAATGTGGGCTTGAACTTCACAACCTGGACGTGTATAACACTTAAAATACCCACCATTTCAGGCAAAAGGAATTTGCTGAAAAATTCAGTGGGAGCGCGTAGTGAATTGGCCCGAAGCTCTCGGTCAGGAAGAATTCGCTGCACAAAGATATCTTGCGTTGTCCACACTACAAAGTCGCAATATTCAACACCACAGATAAATATCTGTGCTTGAACTTCGTATTATTAAGGATGGGATTTGTCCTGGTAAATGTTACTAAGTTCATCTTTCTTTAGACAAACGTTTTTCTTTCCAGCAGCTTTAGAGTTTACTGCATCCTTATAGGCATGTAACATTTCACCTACACCCTGCCCACAGCATTTGCAATGTACAAACCCATCAGGGAAAGCTCCCAAGTATAGCCACCTTGGATCAATATTCAAACCACTGTCTGAAATTGTTAAAGACTCGTGGAATTGACCTATGGATTCCTCGTAAGCTTGACGTGCCCTACCCTCATTTCTTCAACCCCACCTTGTAGCTGCAGTTGAAAATTTATGGGCTTCAGGGTAACATATTGACTTAGTCAGACTCTTTGCAGGTTACACGACCTGCCCTTTGCTGGTACCAAACTGGACTTTGTGACTGCTTTCTAGCTGAAGCCTCTATTGCTCGACATTCCTCTTCCCATTTTTAAAAGTGGCTAGCTATGTAGCGGTTCAATCTTATCTTTGGTTCAACACTCATTATCACACATTACTATACCCGGAAAGACGAAAACAAAATTTAAACAAAGAATAAACTGAAAACCACTGCAGATATTTTACAATGTTTATCCAAATAAATTTTTAAACTAAGAGAAAAACGTAACATAACACAGCCTTCAAATTAGCTGAATTCCACATTTTATTTGTATCACCTGAAAGTAGTTGTACATATAACACAACAAAATTAGGAATAACATGCAGTGAAAATGTCAAAACAGGGAACAAAGAACTTTAAGTTATCTTCACTCACCCTTGCAAACACAACAACTTTATCTGTACCAACACATCGCATGTATAGGGTGTTCACCCAGCCAGAGACTAAAAAGTATCCATCGACTTGAGGGCCTTCATTTGGCTTGTTTTCGCCCACGAGGTTTGCAAGACTTAATAATTTACGATATCCAGATACTGCACGCTTGGTAGAAGTTCCACATTTTCACTGTAATCACTTTTCTTTAAATAAGGGTCGAAACCACAAACACTAACTTTTTTCATTTATCTTAATTTCGCTGGGCCATCTATACCCGGAAAATAATCCGAAAACTGCATGTTTTTGTCCGGCGCACTCTATATGGCAGCCATCTTGATGGTCTGGTTATCCTCCAACATGGCGCTGGCAGAAAGATGTAGTGATTTTTTGGTCACGTGGTTGCAAGCAAAGAAATTGACTGTTGGATTGTAAATGCTGCTTCGAATAATTTTAGTTATGCCTCCTAAAATTAACATTTCAATCAACTGTTCTGTCTTTCGTTTGAACAATATTTTAGCTTGTTTTTGTTTTGCACTCCTTATCCAATGATATGCAATAACATTCAATTCGAAACATTAATGGTCCACAACTTTTAAGATTCCCCCCATCAATCCCCCCCCCAAAAAAAAACAACAACAAGGGGGACTGTTTAAGTCAGTTTTAAAATGTAACGAGTAGTCTACTAGGGTCAAAGATAAGCCTCGTTGGTGTCTAGCAAGGTCTAGCTAGGTCTAGTCACTGCCTTCCTGCGTATTAATCATGTGCCTAGTCAGTGTCTAGCTAGCTGGGTAAAAATGCCTTCCTACATACTAATTCGGTATAGGTTTACTAATGAGCGTCTCTCTAGTTCAATAGAAACAATACGCTTGCCTAGACTTGCCCGTGAAGTAAATTGAGCCCGGTTTTCGGACCGTCTATTGAAAGGAAAATAGGAATAAGAGAAGCGATCACCTAGCAACGCGAGAAACGGCTTCCTATATCTTATTTAGCGCTAAAACGCAGATATATAAACAAAACACATACAGAAAGTAGAGTTGAAAAGTCTTTATTTCAATAAAGTTTACGTCTTCTTATTTAGCGCTAAAACTCGGATATATGAACAAAACACAGGCACATATACACAAAGTGGAGCTGAAAACTCTCTATTTCAATTTTGTCTGACTGTTACAGAACAGTTTTCTCCGTTTTATCTCGAGGAAATAAAAAATCATTGAAGTCTCAATGTTTCACGCGCCCTTAGTTAGGTAATTATGCGAGTTCACAAGCCCAAAGTTGAATACAAATTAGCTCTACAGGAAAAACGTCAAGGGAGCATATTGACGTATCATTATAAAGCAAATAACTTAACAAGGATCAATTGATTAAACACGCGACTAACAATTGCTAGCAATAAAATCAGACACGAGATACCGTTTAAAACAAAAAGAGTCAAATACACAGCGATTTGAAAGAAATTTATTTAAAAAGTCAAAGAAAGCAAGCCATCCTTTTTTTTACACTGCGCACAATGTTTTACTTACCCCTCTCCCTTTTCAATTTTATTTCCCTCCTCAATTTTTTCTTTTTCCCTTCTCCACAATTTTATTATTTTCCCTCCTCAATGTTTTTTATTCCCCTCCTCCACCTCCAACTCCTCATTTATTCTATATATTTTTCCATCCACAAATACATCGACCCCACATTGACCCCTCATCAACTCCACATCGACCCCACTCGACCCTACAGTCAACTTTTTTTTAACACTGCTTCGTAAATAGTGAAACCATATACTACCACCGCAACATTTCTATTGTTTTCCCACCGCCACCACATTTCTATAGTTTTCTCTCCACCATCACCACCACCACCACGACCGCCACATTTCTATTGTTTCCCCCTCCTCCTCCTCCTCTTCCTTCTCCTCATTTTTATTGTTTTCCCTCCTCCTGTGGAGGAGGTGGAGGAGGAGGAAGAGGATGAGGAGGGAAAACAATAAAAATGAGGAGGAGGAGGACTCGAGTTGAACGATCTGCTAATCGAACTAAAATGATTGAATTCAACCAATGATATATTTACAAACTATTTTCCTATGTACAAACATCCGTGAAAAACTACGCAAAAATACAAGTAGATCGTCGATATTCAAACAGGTATTATAAATACGAAAACAATGGTGACATGGACTCTTTTTGCACTAATCCACAGCGTATATTCACATACAGTTCTGGCAGCAATTGTTAACTGACATGATCTACGAAAAGAAAAGGCATCGTAATTGAATCCAGTCATCGATTGTTAATTGAAACAAACCAATACGGACATTGCATCTGCATTTTTCTGATGTATAACACCAATCTGTAAATCCGCACCGTGGCAACATTCTGATATATTGCAGTGTTGATCTAAAGAAAAAAACCTGGGTTAAGCCCGTACGATTCAAACACTCCATTTTCTAACCACAAAATTTTACTTAATACACTTTCGCCTGAATATAGGCGAAAAATTAATTAACGTATCTTCTTAAAATGCACGACCCGCATACAGTTTCATAATGAGTTCTTTTTCGTGGTTTTTATCAACAAAGTCTCCGGCTAATTGCAAACGAAACCTGTCGAGGGTTAAAACTTTTCGACGGATTCTTTAGCAATGACTGCAACGTCTTTTGTAGAAACACAACCATTTTGTGTATTGACAATAACTTATTTCTTTCCATTGCTTGATTAAATTGACCACATCTCTATAAGGAAAGCAATAAGATTTTCAGTGACGGTGATCAGTGTAAATCTCTTATGCAATCAAGTAAATCCAGCGTTTCAAAATGGCGATGTGACTAGGGAATAGTTGCCATGTCCAGTTGGATTCTTCGAGGGAATAAAACTCAAAAACGTTCATACCTGAAATTGACCTGATGCAATTTTTTGATATCTTTCACGAAGTTCTTGATATTCGCGTCGTTCTAATGTCTCTCTTAATGGGTGGCGTGGTGGAAATACTTCTCTAGCAACGGCGCCTGGATTCGGCATGGCTTCAACACAAAGCTGCTCAAGGGATTTCATGGCGATGTGATAGATTCAACAGCGTCAGTAAAACTGGTTAGAAAGCGAGTACGTTCACTACGTTTTAGTCGCTGTTGTTCTGGCGACCGTTGGACATCGAGCAAAATGATTGAACAGTTACTTATCTTTTGATCAAAGCTTTTTATTGGTTGAATTTAATCGTGGCTTGTTTCCTTACACGACTTACACGCGAGATCTCCACGCGCGCTTTCTGAGAAAACATAGGGCTAAAAAGGTGCCCTTTCTGCCCTTTCTGCCGGATCTGCCCTTGAAAATCAACGATAAATTTCGTGTCGCAAATGGTTTTACTCATTTGAAAGGTAAAAGGTTGTAAAGATTGTGAAAAAATAGATTTTGTAAATAATTTTCGTTTTCTCAAGTTTGTAAATAACATTATATATATAAAAGAGTTTCCTAAATGTCTAAGAAATGTCATTTGTTCATAGTTTGTAAATAAATCAGTGATTGAATTTAATCATTTTAGTTCGATTAGCAGATCACTTAACTCGAGTCCACGAAATATCGGGGATAGAAAGGAAATATTGGCTTCAATTTGCTAAACTACAAAACACCAATGTGGTTCGTGTTTACGAGAAAGAGGCTGGACCTAAAACAATTTTTTCTATAAATCAAAGAGCCGAGGGGGGAAACACAACGCTAAAATGTGGCGTTGTTGGCGCTCTTGGCGCTTTCCCTGTCTTTTCGTGTTAAATTAACGACAAATTTCTTGTGGTAAACTCTTTTGTTTCACTATTTTTTCCCGAAATTCTCAAATATCTATTCTAACACATCCTCAAATTTCATGTCACACATGGGAGATTTTAAAGCAAGATGGGTGGATTTCTAGGAACTCTGTGGTGGATTGTTTTATTCTTCTTCTTGCTTTGTGTCGGTATTTGGGGGATGAGGTGCTTAAAACACAGATGTTACTGCAAGGAGGAGCTGCCACTAATCGACTGTTCCCGAGCAAATTTGATGGTGGTACCTAAATCAGTTCCACTGCTAACAACACTACACTGAACATAATTGAGACATAATTTATTAGTTCAAGTAAACGCTTCTGTGGTGAAGGAACAACTCCCAATTTAAAAATGGTGGATCTGAGGGACAATCCGTTCGACTGCAAAGGATTCTCGGACAAGACGATATTTGGAGTAATCACTGACTGTGAAATCTCAGTGACCAGAAAAACTCTAACGACTACAAGACTACCATCATCACACGCTGGGAACTTCCACCAGAAAAACTCTAAAGACTAGGAATCTAGCCCAACCAACAACGACTACAAGACTACCATCATCACACCCTGGAACGTCCATAATTATTTATATGACTGTTTTGTTTTCATTCGTTTTATTAATGCCGGTCATTATCCTTTGTTTGAAAGGTGTTGTAAAACTGTGCAAAACAAGATATCGTACCAGAACACTTCCGATTTCCTGTGAACTAAGTCTGTTCCAGACTAGTCCCTAGGGGTTCTCGGCTCAGTCAATCCTGGACTCTACCGTGAGCTGTGACGTCACCGAGAAATACTCGCCGAGAACTCGCCTGCTCTTTCCCAGACTTCACGCGGACAACGGGGCGAGAGACAAAGCCTAGGGACTAGCCTGAGTCGGTTCAATTTTGACGCTGATAGCGAGGAACACGTAATATTTGATGTCACTGCCTTGTAAATACGCAACGGATTCCATGTCTTCGCCTGCTTAATAGCTGAATGTTACGCTCAAATCGTTTAAAATACAAGTCTGTTGATGTCATTTTAGGGACTAAGTTTAATTCCGAGCGCCGAGCCGCGAGGTTTATAATTTCGTTGCGCGCGAAGCGCGTGTTTCCCACGAGGATCGCAAGGACAGCGTGATTTTCTGTTTGCTATAAATCTATCGAGTTTGGTTGGTGTCCGCCTTGACGTCATCCAGAGTACTGACGTCAAAGCGCATTATGGGTTTCCAGGCAACCGATTACCATGCTGATAGGCAGCACTTTCATGTTTTATTCATGAGAAACTGACGGATTTTTTGATCTGTGAATTACAACAATGTTTACGGTCGGTCAATCACCATCAATATCTCGGGCAAATGAACGACAACAGCAAATTCAGCAACCTTGGATTCAAGAAGTGGCTGGAAATCATCGCCTAGGGAGATTTACCAACGAAGCTCCGGAAGAGCGAGAACCGCGGCTTGAAATCCAACGCGAACAGCGGCGAAGAAGGCGACAACAAGAAACCGCGGAGCATCGAGAACATCGCTTAGCCCAACGAAGGCAACGTTGTCCCCAGGAGACAGAGGAACAGCGGAACAGGAGACTTGAAAATCAGCGGCAAAGCCGTCAGCAGGAGACAGAGGAACAGGAGGCAGGAGTATCAGAGGCAGTATCAAGGTAGGCGTAGATTACATCAATAATCTAAGTAACATAACCTTAAGTAATGAAGGGCCATTAAGTCACGAAACACCTCAACAACGAGAGCACCGCTTACAAAGACTTCGACAAAATTCCGCTACCAGATTTCAAAACGAAACCGATGAACAGAGGCAACACCGACTGGAAAGGCAGCGACAAAATAACGCCGTCCGAATTCAGAACGAAAGCAATGAGGAGAGGGAGCAACGACTACAAGTTTTAAGACAGAATGATTCTATGCGACGTAACGCGAGGCGCCAAGAACTGCACGATCTGCAAGATTCTCGGGAGGAATATCTTTTAAACGGATGGCGAACTGCCGAGCAACCTTTACACCAGCAACAATGGGTTCAGGATGAGATGGCCAAATTTCATAGTAGTATTAACAGTTTAGACCACCGACAATGTGTCACATGTAAGAAAGCTTGGCCTACAAAACAGGGTTTAAGTCTTGCAAGGTTTGAATGTTTAAGGTGTAAACGGGATAAGGGAAACCCTAAATTATACTCCCAAGAAAATGACATGGATCCAGGTGCTTTACCACTAGAGCTTCAAGGCCTAACTGATATTGAGGAAATGCTAATTGCCAGAGCTTGCCCAATTATGTGCGTATATCGTAAACATGGGAGTCAACGAGGTTACAGAGGGCATGTTTTAAATCTTCCCCAAGACATTCAGGGTTTTCTTAATAGGCTTCCACGTAATATTGCACAGCTCCCATATCTCATAATTCGAAGGCATGGAACTGACAACACAAACAGGGATTGTACAGTCAGAAGACTGAAAGTACTTCAGGCTATAATGTGGCTTAAAGCGAACAATCCTTTTTATGCTGATGTGGCTATTGACTATGAATCACTTGAGCGCTTGCCAGAGGATGGGGTACCTGATGATCTTCCAACAGTGGAGGGTCCAGAGTCAAGTGAAGAGCAAGATGACCAACAAGAAGATGCAGAAAAACAGATTCCACACCAGAGTCATTAATTCCTTCCACTTCCACAGCAACAACAGACTGAACAGGATGCAATACGCGCATTAATTAATGGGGTCGATCCGCTAGACTGGCCAGCTAATGATGGGGATCCTATCAATGAATTTCGCACAGAGGGCTTGGCTACCATGGCATTTCCAACGCTTTTTCCTTATGGTAAAGGGGACCCGACCAAGCGTACGCGTCTTCGTGAAGTTTCCTAAACAGACGGTTTCAAACACCTTATGAAGTATGCAGACCTTTCAACGGATGGAATCTTTACTTGGCGATTTGCCTCACACCCTCGATTTCCATATTGGGCATTAAACATGAAACAACGCCATCAATTATTGTCACAAGCTCGCATTTACCTTACTCAAAACCCAGAAGATGCCAACTTAACGACCGAGGAACTTCGACAAATGGTAGGTCAAATGACTGCAAACCACCTCATGAATCGTGTTTAGCGTTACGTTGCTAAGATACAGGGTACAAAGTAATACTGGTATCAGGGTTACCAGGAACTAAAGGCATTAATCACACAGAAAGGAGCACCCACTTTCTTCTTTACTTTCAGTGCTGCTGATAAATATTGGCCAGATTTACACAGACTTCTTCAAGAGCCAAACAGTGCAGTTCCTTCTGTTCGAATTAGGGCTGTAATTGATAATCCTCACATCACAGATGCTTTCTTTGTTTCACGGTTAGATGAATTTTGTTCTCATTGGCTAGATCGTGTAATGAGTGCAGAATGGAAATGGCTCCGCTTTGAGTGGCAAGCACCGGGCAGTATTCATGCACATGGGTGTGCAAAGCTTTCCAATGATCCAGGCCTTTGCAGCCTTGTGAAGACAGCAGCGCAGGGATGGAAGCTGGAACAAATTTTACGGTGTCGAGAACAACATCCAAGTTATCACCAGATGCTGAATGACTTCCAACCTCACATAGAAGCAGGACATCAAGCACAAGAAACTGTAAAAGTGTATGTTAATTGGCTGGTCACAACTATTAATGACGCACTTCCACAAGACAGTTGGACCATTCCCTCACCTCATCCATCTGCAATATCGATACTGTAGACAATTTAGATAGAGACTATGAAGCCCTTGTTAATTCTGTAAAACGCCATACAAAATGTAGCACAGCATACTGCATTAAAATAAAAGCTGGCCAGCAGCCAACATGCCGACTTAATTTCCCAAAAGACTGTCAGGATGAAACTACCATTGACTTTCAGCTCATAACAAAAGCTGCCAGTGATGACTATGAATTAACAGTTGAGGAAATCACCCAAGCACAAGTGAAAGCAACACTTACCACTAAGCGAAATGGTGGAGGCATCAACTCCCACAACCGTGTTATGTTACAACACTGGAGAGCCAATGTAGATCTTCAGGCCATCGTTGACACTGACCTGAGCATCCAGTACATGGCCAAATACGCAACAAAAGGTGAACCTCGATCACAGTCCGCATCTGAGATACTCACTGCGTGTGTTAATAGACTCCATAATACAGACATGGCTTCATCTGCACTGCGAAGAGCAATGATTCAAGTCGCTGGAGAACGTGACATAGGATCTCAAGAAACTGCACATATGCTTCTTGGAAAACCATTGTATTCTTGCACCTATTCCTTTCTCTGTGTCTCATTGGATGGAAGTCGAAGAGTTCGGACTGGAGATGAAGGTGATGAAAACCAAGGCGATCAAGCATTAGATCCATCAGTACTTGACCATTATGCTACTCGTGCTAACTGGCAAGAGAATAACCCTGAAATTCTTAACCTTAATCTTGTACAATTTGCCTCTGCCTACTATGTCACTAAGGGGGAGCTCAAACACCGTAAACAGGAAGTAATTATTAGGACTTTTCCAATTTTCTCTCCAAATCCTTCGGGAAAGAATTATGGTAATTACTGCAAGTATGCTCTAATTAAATATAAGCCTTGGTCTGGAGAAGTCAATACTGCATGGGATGGACTTGATGATTGCCATGAAAATCACATTCAGTGCTATCATGCATTTCTTGCCTCTGAAAGTGCTGCACATTACATTCCAATGTTACAGCAAGAGCTTGAACAAGCACGCCGTTATAATGGACATGACGATGAAGATAACAACAGTGATGATGACGATGAGGAAGTGCCACAACGTGAGGGAGAACCAGAGGAATGCATGCTGCTATGTCGCCTCAATCAACGGTATGATGACACCATCTCACAAGGAAGCCAGTCTCATGAAAACTTGCAGTTTGACTGGACAGAAACTGCAAGAGCAATACCGCCTGCCCTGATACGCGAATCTGCTAACTGGATTACAAAACGCAGAAACGAGGCTCTAGAGGACCCAAGTGTTCTCAACAGACGACAGCAACAAACTGTTGATCCAGCACGACTGAATAGACAACAAATGCTTGCTTACAACATCCTTGCTTCTCATCATGCAGCACTAAATGGTGCAACCTCCCCAGAACCATTACAAGTCATCATCACAGGAACCGCAGGGTCAGGTAAGTCGTATCTTATTAATGCAATAAAAGCCCTTCTAGGAGACACATGTATACTCACAGGGAACACTGGTTTGGCAGGCTACAACATTGAGGGTTGTACCTTACACTCAGCTTTACAGCTGCCAGTTCGTAATCATAATAATAATGACTTGCAAGGAACAGCATTGCAACGTCTGCAACTTCGTTTCTCTGGAAGCAGTACCTTATTACAGATGAAATGTCAATGCTTGGTCAGCGGACACTAGCTTGGGTAGATAAGCTTCTACGACAAGCCACAGGAAAACTTAATGAACCTCTTGGAGGGATTTCGGTTATGCTCCTTGGAGATTTTGCACAGCTACCACCTGTTGGAGATAAGCCTATTTATGCTTCCCCATCCCAGTCCAGTTCTTTACTCACACAGCATGGACATTCCATTTACGGTCTATTTGAAACAGTGGTCATGCTATCAGAAAATATTCGACAGGCTGGAAATAATCCTGAGGCAGAACAATTTCGAGCAATACTCCTTCGCTTACGAGATGGTCAGAGTACTCAAGATGACTGGATGACACTCTGTCAGAGGACACCACAGCATGTTAACATGAGTGACTTCACAGATGCACCGCGATTATATTTTGACAAGCTTAGTGTGGCAAAGTACAACTTTGAGAAACTTGAGAACCTAGGATCACAAATAGCTCGTATTTCTACTCTTCATTCAGGTCGAAATGCTAAGAATGCCACATCGGATGATGCTGGTGGCCTCGATGCTGTAATATTTCTGGCACGTGGTGCTGCAGTTATGCTTACAAGCAACCTGTGGCAGGAAGTGGGCCTGTGCAATGGTGACACTGGCGTAGTGGAAGATCTACTCTTCCATCCTGATCGCCCTCCACCTTGCCTACCCATTGCAGCACTCGTACATTTCACAAACTACACAAGCCCTGCTTTCTTAGCAACAAACCCTGAGACTGTCCCCATACCACCACATTTATTTGAATGGGAAAGTGATGGTCAGAGACTTTCCACACAGCAGCTGCCACTGCGATTGCGATATGCCATGACTATTCATAAATCGCAAGGTCAAACACTACCTCAAGTTGCGGTGGACTTAGGTAAGGCAGAAAAAGCTGCAGGAAGTAGTTTTGTTGCTATTTCTCGAGTGCGCTCCTTACAAAATTTAGTGTTGCAGCCAATGTCGTTTCAAAGACTACAAGCAATTGGGAAGAACAAGCAATTACAGGAAAGACTCCGAGAAGAAGAAAGGTTAAGAAATCTAGCAGAAGTTACCGCGCTTCGCTACCAGCACCTTTAGTCCATTTATGAGATTAAACGACCGACATCTCAAGGCAAGTGACTTTTTAATAAACCTTACACTTACTTTGGGCCCAAAATAAACTTAAAACTATAACATAGTTAAACAATAATTGTTAGAGTCACTTAGTAAATAATACAAGAAGATAATCAACAGACTATCAGGTAAGTTTACAATTTTTTTCTGCCTAATGTACGAGTCAATTCCAAACCGCCCATGCCCTGCCTCCAGTCAAACCCCGGGCATTTCACTTTTTGGACACATTGTCGTCAATGTCCATGGTATTTTGGTAGTTTTAAGTTTCAATGGCTCTCAAATCCTCCAAAAAAAACAGTCAGGGTAGGAGCTATGGCCAGTCAACACATTGCACACGCTGAATGTGCACGTTCAATAATTACTTTGATATCACTTCTGACGCTGGCCAGTGTTTTCACATGAAAGTGGAATACCAAACTGGGCAGGTCTCATTGCCACTAAAATCCCCCAATGTACAAAGCATACCTCCAAGCAAATGCCCTGAGTATACCCAGTGGGGGAGATGGCCAGTTTGGGAAGTGGCTGGAACGTAATGTTATGTACACTGTGATGTTATTGATGCTGTCACTAAAGAAAGTTCATAGATTTTCACACACAGTACATTCTTAGAGGTAGTAGTACACAATTCAATTCTTTGAAAATAATTATCATCATCATCATCATCACAGAACAGTTATAATATTACAGGGAAATTACACCCTGATACTGTAACATTTATTTCAGTTACCATTTCCGCTTCAGGCACAGTATGTGACATAAATATACTATAAGTATTTTCGAACTTTACAGATAGTCCTTACTGGAGCCTCTAAGTCCCAAGAGTAACCAACATCATTTTTTTTATCAAAATGAATAAGATAATCACCTAAGAGAATATGTTTTCATCTTTTGTAAATTTTCTCAACTTAACTCTAGAGAAATGTTTACAGACCAAAGAGCACAATTGTGAAGTGCATACAGTCAAACCTGCATATAACAGCCCTGTATATAACTGGTCAGCCTGTACATTATGGTCACCAGAAAACTTCCTAACATTTCCAGTTGCCTCATATTTTCCACAAAATTGACCAGTATATAGAGGTCACCCTGTATATAACGGTCATCAGGCCATTTTCCAAGGGTGACTGTTGTACGCCGGTTTGACTGTATTAGGGATTCAAAGGACTTTTCA